TTTGATCTTCTTGGGATCAACATTTGCTGAAGGTATTTATGACTGCATTCATTTATGAGTTGCCATGAGAATTTGTGTCAAGATTAGAACGTTACTATTATGCTGCTCTTGAGAATATTTTCTCCTTTCCTCATAACTCTGCTCTTTCTTTACATTGCCAAGTCAGGGGCAAGGGGTCAGGGGAAGAACAAGGTGGAGTAGAAGCCGTTTTCTGAGAAAGACTGAATGTATGAGCCCATTTCAAAAATAATCTTTAAGAGTGACTTCCTCCTCAATCCAGGCAGCTTGAAATCTAGTCAGGCCTTGTTCTGGAAGTACGGGAAGACGGGCAACGAAAACCATAATTCATTTCTACAGAAATGTTGTAGAAATAGTAGCTTCAGTGATATGTGGCTAAGTCTTACCTCTGACAAAATGTTAGAGAGAGTGCCTCCATACATATTTATAACCAGAAAACATGGAGATCATCAGTCCCAGTTCCAATTGTACACTGCAAACAACGAATAGGTTGTAAGTAGAGGACAGAACTCTCCATTTCTTGTTTCTAATTCAATTCCTGATACTGACCTTTTTGCCTTAATAGAAACTTCTATCTATTTCAGGAGATTTGAGGATTGGCTAGCAGTTGCCTGATTAGTGTGTATGTGAGCAAAGCAAATATTCAGGATCATGAAATCCTTGCTTCTCAATGATTTGGGGTATATTCTCAGTGACTGCTGTTTCACAAAAATGCTTCCATTCTTATCTATTTGGCAGGATCCTGAGGGAAAAAATGAGCTTGACTTAAGTTCTGGTCTACTCTGAAAGTACAGAAATGTAAACATGGAAAATATCACAGAGTTTTTTTAGTCCAGCCTCCCTCACAATGAAGCATTTGTTTTCACATGGTCCCTGAGTTGGTTACTCATTCTTCACTCAAACACTAGAAAAAACACTAACAGTCATAAACTCACTCTGTCTTTCAGAAAGCCTAATCAATTTTTCTGGAAATTGATTTTAGGAAAAAATAGATTTGTGGGAAATCTATTTTAGGGAAGAATATATCCTACACTTGATCTTAGCCAAAAGGCCGAGAAGCAATGAGAAGAATAAATCCTTATAGAAGTGATAAAACTACTTCTGTTTTAATGTCTGTTCCTGGCCTCTTCTGGCCTTGTTTTACTCTACTCTACAAATAGAACTGGAATCTAACAATTCTGCCTAACTTGTCTCCTCCAAATATTCCCATTGCTAGTCTAAGTCTGTCTTCTTTCTGATCATTCTCTTCTACATATTCATCAATCTCCCTTGTAAGATGAGATGCAGATATTAGACTTGTCTGTTCTTTCCCCTTCGAGTATAGCAAAATTTCCCCTGTATGTTTTGGACTTCTATGTGTGTGACTACATATGCTAAACTTAGCTAGTGTGGTTACCCATAAGCTGGAAGGAAATAGAGTCTTAAATTGTGGGCCATTTTCAATACATTTAGTGCAGAACTCTGAAAACTCTGAAATGATATCATTCTAATAGTGATTTCCAAGAGGAAACGTAATACCAGCATTTTTGAAAATGGTGAGGATCATAAATAAGGCAGCGGACCCATTAACTCTCAATGTGAAATTTTTCTCCTAAATCCACCCTGCTACTTAAACACCTGTCCCACCCCACACCCCGCCAGAAATATGCTGAAGCTGATAAATGATCTCTGATAGCAAAACCTTTTAAGTTTTTTATTCATATATTCCCCCAATTCAAATCAACTCCTGTTCTGAGATCTTAGGTAAATCTGTTTTCCATGGAGGCAGATTCTATATTAAGAGAAACTGAACAACTGATGTAAAACATTACTGAAGGCAAGGGCGGAAAAATTATTTAAGCAGAAAACATCTCTTACAGACAGGCCAGCCTGTACCTTTGAAAGGCCTCAGTCTGACCGCAGTTCTATCATTTATTATGTGAGCTGCGCAAGTCGAATTCACTGCTCTGAGATTCAATTTATGCACCTAAAAGGAGTTATCTACCTCATGGAGTTCTACTGAGGTTCAAGAGTGTCAAAAATGCATCAAAATATTAAAAAATTAACATTGAATAATTTTGACATTATTATTAATATACAATATAGGTTGGAGTTCTTTCAACTATTTTATCTTGAAAGCCTTAGGTGTGTTTAGTAAAGGGTTGAAAAACAAGATACTTTCATTCCCACTACCAATGGCCCCCATTTCAAATGCCATTTGGCTGAAAATATTGGAAGTTTAGGGGCTGGAAAAAAAAAAAAGCAGAAGCCTATTTTCTTAGTTCTGTGGCTAGGCCCTCCCTTGTAATTACCATACTGGTAGTAGAAGCCAAGGCATTTTCGATGATTGCTTTTCATGTACACTTACTTGGCTCCCAAATGTCTTTTAGGCAAAATTTTCTTTGGTGGTTATATTAGATTACACTTAACTTTAGGAATATCCAGTCACAGCACTTTTGAAAACACTGCACAGAAAGTAAGACAGACGTCTAATAGGACTTTGCCTGGGAACGCCTAAGAATATTCATCAAAATCCACAATGCTTCCAGAAGTATTTTGAATCGTTATACCTCGAAGTAGGTTTTTGTAGCTCTTAAATTCATGCTTAGTGTGCTAAAATATTTGAGTAACAAAGGCCACTGCCCTCAAGATTTTGAAGCTTCTCATTTAGATATCTTAAAGCCTAAAAATCAAGATTTTCATGAATTTTAAAAATGAAACTCTGCCATTAAATATATTTTAAAACATTATCTCTAGTCTCAAGCCTACTCCAGGTGGTCAGGTATCCCCTGTTTAATGTTCCCAGGCGCTGACTGTGTGTAACTCTCTGTAAAGACATTCTCTGTGCTACCCAACGGCAGCCACTCTTGGTCTTCTTTAGAGGACCTTATCAACATTCACTACAAATTCTGATTATGATTCCTAGTTTTGTACTTGAAAGATGGGGTAAATGAGTCTCAGTTCTTATTTTAGTAGTAAGTTGAAGCCTCAGATTAAATGTTTTCATTTCAAATGCATTTTTAAGAACACTTTCAAGACTCGGAGAAAGTGGGAATGGAAAATATTACTATTTCTTTCCTAGCTAATATTTGCTTGCATAGAACTAAAACACTGCTGCCTAATGAGTGACTGGTACAATAAACTTTGCTTGAACTTCCGGCTCAGGCTGGGTGACCCCAGGTTCTCCCACGCAGCACTCGCCTGGCACACTGGAGTTGCCCTTTTTCATAGACTGCTACATGCAGTCAAGCTATTTGGCTGCTGCATTCATTATTCTGTCCTTGGTGTGGTGCCTTCATCAGAGTTAAGGGATAAATATTTTTCAAGTAAATGATTATCTGCATGCTTGTGGACTGAATACATATGTAAATAGAGTTTGGAATCTATTCATCATAAGGATACCATCGATATTCAGAGTTCTACCTTAAAATCTATGCTTAAATGATCTAAGAACTGTTTTCTCTGCTTCCTTTTTGGGACCAGTTCACTGAATCTCGGTGTCCTGGGAGAGCATTTTGCCCAAGGACACTATACCTTACTTTGTTCTTAGTTTTAGGTTTCTCAATAAACTGTGGGTTCTCAGCCTAAACCTCACAGATGGCCCTCAAGAGGCTCATCTCTATGTAATCCAGTCCCCCAGGTACTATCCAGGGACACTTTGCTTCTCACATCATCACATATGAAAGTTGTAGCCAGGCTGTGAACACCTGAGAAGTGATTAAGATAGAATTATATACTATAGATTTTATTTCTCAGAAGCAGACTTGTCCAAATTCTGTATGATAATCAAGGTCAATGGACATCTATTTGTCTTTTAGACAAATGGATATTTGTTCTGGGGACAATTTCATGCTAACCCATTTTGAGCATACTACCTGAGGAAGATTCTGGCAGCTTTATGACAAAATGATTAATGACAGTAGCAGAAAATCCAGGAGCAGGACTGTTACTATAGCAAGAACATTGCAGAGACATGAGATGAAAAACAACCTGGACAGCAAAAGAAAAAAGGGGTACACTATAGAGGTGGGCTGTGGACCAGGGGCTTAATCTGCTTGAGGTACCTGCATACCACATCAGAGTGCCTGGGATCCAGTCCCATCTCTGCTTCTGATAGAGCTTCTTGCTAATGCACCTGGGAGGCAACAGATGATGGCCTCAGTGCTTGGGTCTCTGCCACTCATGTGAGAGACTTGGATGGAGTTTCAGGCTCCTGGCTTCAGCTTGGCCCAGCCCTGGCTGTTGTGGGCATTTGGGTAACGAGTCAGCAGATGGAAGTTCTCCCTCTCTCTCTCCCCTTCTCTCTGTCACAGTCCCATTCAAATAAATACATCACTCACAAAATTGAAAAAAAAAAAAAAACAGAACTGTAGGATCAGATCAGGATGAGATGCTTGGCATAGGACCATAGCACTTAGTAGCTCCTGAAGAAAAAATTCAGAGATTGAAAATTGTGAGCGTCAAAGGCAGTCCTATTAAAATGTGGGCAGAAGCTACTTTACATTAAAGAAATGTTAGAGATTAATCAGAAAGCTAATTTAACACATGTTCGCTTATGTTTTTCCCTAAAATGACATCATCCATCGAAGTACAGCAATTAGTAGTTTTATCTGATGGCTATGAAGAGTCATATTAACAATGATCATTTTTACTTTTTAAACAGTGTAACTTAAAAAAAATCTTGCTGTTCCCTGTGATTTCATTAGCTATTCCTGCTGGAGGGAAAACCAGCTACTTGGACCCTAGATCATATCCAAGTGACTACTGCTTCCTGGCAGTAGTTTGCCCTGATTAAACATCATCACGCAACCCATTGAGAGTTAGTCCTGTAAACTCAGTCTTGCAAAGTAGTGTAAGCATCAAAAAGAAACAAATTGTCCTTTTCTCTACTTGATGACCAAAAATAGTATGGACAAATCTCAGAGCTAAAGCAGGTTTCATGTTTTGTCGAAGGCAACATAAACAATTATAAGCACTCTTGGTCACGGATTTCATGACATAGGGAATAGACAACACGATGTGGAACTGCAGAGATGTGATAGTAATGCTAAGCTCCGTGGTGCTGGGGAAGAAAATAAATGAGAATTCTTTGTCATCCATCTTTGCCTGTTTGTGTTACCCAAACCAACTGCTAAATGATTAGCATGATTTTTTAATGTTTTCTCTTTTTTAAAGCTATGCAATTTATGTATAGCATATGTGTACATATACGTATACAAATAAATATCTCTATATACATATATGTATGAATGCATGCATATGTGTATGTAGACACCCATATACACATATGTACATTCTTTTATGTGGATGGAACAGCATAAACATCACAACATCTCTCGAGTGGGATAGGACATGCACAGAGGGCTGCCTTGCCTTCGCACCTGATACTCATCTGTTGGTATCAAAACTTTTTATAAAAAGTTATGTTCTACTTGGTAACTAAAAAAATCAAAATATCATTACCAAAATTGACATGCAATAAAATGAAGCTGCACCCTCCTATTTTCTACAACTATTAAAAAGATTGTAGGAAATGAATTTCAGAAATCCTTTGACACAGGGATTGTGACTAGGTTTTAATGAAAATGAGCAATTTGTTAAGAAGTCCTCACGGCATGGACAGATCTGTCCTCAAATGTGATGGAGCACAGCTTAGCTCTCTTCTATTTCACTAAGTGTACAACACTGGAATATAAGGTTGCAAAAAATGAGTACCTTTGTGGTTATAGAATGCGATCCTCCAATAACTCTTCATTTTTTTAATCCCTCTATCAGCCTAATCGAAAACCAGAAACCCAGGGCTGACGATGCCACGATACAAAGGGCCAGAGAAACACCCGCTCAGCCAGCCGCTTCTTGCAGTACTGCCTCAGCAGGCTTTGGAGATGTGCTGTTTCTGTAGGTACACAGTTTTATGTCTGTTAAAGTTATGTGGGCTTTCAGACTAAGACCAGACCATTTGCTTCTAGACTTGCTGAAGGCCCATTAAAAGTGATACAGTATATTTAAACTGAGATGGGAACTCGAACCATATGGCCTTGGCTCTTTCCAAAGCCCAGAACTGTCACATGCAGCGACCAATTAAATAAAAAGTATACGGGAGGTAGATTTAATGTTGAAGTCATTAAATACATGGTTGCTCTGCTTACACATATACATATAAAATTTTTAAATTCAACTCCTAGAGTTTGCTTTTTCAAAGAAACAGATCATACTTGCTCCCATCAATAAGGATTAGACTGCCTTTTTGCGTGGTTTGGAATACTTTTTAAATGCACCAGGATCCTTAGTGTAGATAGTACTTCATCTATTTTCATAGCAGGGGTTGATTTGTATCTTCTGCTGCAGCTGCTCGAACTGGACCACAGCCATCTGTACCCTAAATTTTCTCTGGGCTGTTTGGAAGCCTTCAGAGAGAAATGTGAGATGGTCTTTAATACAAGCAGAGTCCTGCAGCCCAGCAGTGACGGCTTGGTAACTGAGTGCTTCGTCAAACGTCTGGCTCGATCCAGGGAATGGAAGGCACCGTTCAAAGCCAGATTCTAGTCTGTTTTAAGGATTATATTTCTGTCATCACATTTCCTTGACAGTCCCACCAACTGAAAAACTCAGCAGAAGCCCAGTGATTAAATTCTCCTGGAACATGCTTTCCTCCAGCCTCTGGAAACAATCTGCTGTGAACCCTCCTCCCCTCACTGCAAAGTCCAAGCACAAGTTTCATTTCTGAGGCTGATAAATGGAAAGAGATTACTCACCACCAACCCACTCCTCCACAGCTGGAAGTAATGCCAACAGCTGGACTTTGAAATGACTATGGAGACTGTGGTAATAAACTCCCTGCCCACTGCAAGGCGGCTCCTCCCTAATGAAGCATATATCTTAATGTAGTATATCATACCCATACTTTCAAAGGAATGATATGTGCCCAGAACATGAGTCAGATAAGCAACACGTCCCCACTGGACCTCTAAATTAAAGACAGAGAAGCAATCATTTATGGTCACATGCAGGAACACTAGGGAAGCTGTACCAAGAGCAAAATGAAAGGGAGCTCAGGAGACTTCAGAGCTAGCTGGAAGCAAGACACTTGAACCCCCACTTGTATTGTTGACCTACGCTCAAGTCAAGTATATATTTGGGCAGAATGTTAGCAGACTCTTCTCCTAAGAGTTTGGTCATCACAGAGCCCCATGGCAGGACTGCACATTGCAATGCCATCACCAGACATTTCTGGTTAGACTTCCATAGAGGTTTGCACTAAGTGTCTGATAAGGAAAGAGAAAGTAGAGAAAGAATCTATTACACTAGACCGTACATGGAAATGGGGCTATTGGTATGACCTCAGAGCCTGAGAAGTTATGGAGAAAGTGTCCATCAGTAAGATCCAGGCTTCCTGGAGAGCTGGCAGTGGAACTCATTAACCAAGGCTTTGTCCTTGAATCAAGGTTTACTTGGAGTAATGAAAACCAAACATCTAGAAGGAAAACCTAACTGGGGGGCCCTCAGTGTCCAAGAGTCTCCAGTAATTAGCCTCCGTGCAGTGTTCCAGCGACTGTTTCTTGCTTATGTGTGTTATCTGGACATATGCTGCTACTTTCCACCTCTGTTGTTGTTGTTTTTTTTTTTCCAAGTCAGTGAGGCTGCTTTCTATTACCACTTACTGTTTAGAAGTAAATGTAAGAGTGCTCCATTTCCTGTAGCCACAGTTTCCACACACGGCTGTCTGCTCTGAACTTTAAAACAGCACTTACAATTGAGTGGATCTACAAACTAGCTAAGGGTCTTTGCTGAATCCTTGCTCTGCTCAATTGCAGCAAAAGGCAAAGATGGCTACACATAGGCAGTACGGAGCTGTACAAACAGCCCAAGCTGAACGAGTCCTGCACTGCTCTCGGCAACAGCCCAGCACCCTGGCCGACCCCTGGGCACCTCTGAGGTGCCTCTGAGCACAGGCAACTCTCATGCCACCTCACCACACCCCAGCGACAGAGCGCACACGTTGTCCTCGTCCACGTGGCACTTCCCAGCTCCGACAGAATGAAACAGGAGGGTGGGGGGAGAGGACATGCAGAGAGTCACGAAGTAGTCTCGGAATGTTCAGTCCTGGAAATGGAAACAGCTTTGCAGTTACATTTCTGCAGGGCACCCATAGGGTCTTAAAAGGCCTTCAGACAATCTTGTGATCTTCAAAGACTGACTTTAAAGAGAAAAGGTAATACCGCATTTGTTTAAGTTGGTGGGGGTCGTTACAGTAGAATCATGTGGTACAGAGGAAAGAATGCATGGGGGGAGGAGGGAGCAGTGCCATTTATACGAACATCCTTTGAATCTTTAAAATAAATTATACAGGTGAACACAGAAGTTCATGCTACTTGCTGGAAGCAATAGGATCACATTTTGTGGAACTGGTCTTCCACACACCCCCAGGTATCCCGCCTCCTTCTCCACGGGCTATCATGTTCTGTTGCAGATCTGGAGAGCCCTTAAATCTGGTGGCATGGTCTCAGATAGATTCTTGCAGGAGAGAGACTGGTGTCCGGATTCCATCAGCTTCTTCCAGGAGAGCTGCCCGATCGCCAGAGGGCGCAGGTGATCTGCTCACTCAGGTCTTCTTTGCCTATCTGCCAGGGTCAAACAGCAGTTTCCAGGTCCTCATGGCCAATGACCTTATAGTTCTGACGGCTTTCTAGATAGGCAGCTAACTCCGGGTCCCCAGCCTGCTGTGCTCTGTCTTGAGGTGTCTTACCCTACAGATGACAGGGAAAGGGGAAGAGACAAGCACTCGGAGTGAGATTCTTTTTAATCATAGAAACAGTCACCCAAAGATTACTTGCTAACAAGAATCCTCCATGTCTGGTGTTTTAGGGTGTACAAGGAAGTTTGACATGTAGTATACAAACATCGCATTAAACATGTGAGACTGGTAAGTTAGAGTTCAATACTTCTACAGGTACGGTCTATCTAAGGAGATAGAAGTTCACAGAGGTTGAGTGTACAGGAGGAAATGCTGTAGCACTGTGAGTCTGGGTATCCAGATCTTTTTGGGAGGAGAAGGAGAAATCAAAAAGAGGAAGCAGGCATCCAGATTTCTAGTTTGGGAGTTTTTGTATTAACTAAACTCTGGGAATCTACAGGAAGCTGGAAGGAACGGAGACTAGTGAACATTCAGAAAGGTTTTCTCGGCTGCTTTCAAAGTCTTCAGTTAAGTCGTCTTCAATTTATGGCTACTTCATCTCTCAAAAACCTGAGTTACCACTGACCATTTAAGTGATAAATGAGAATTAAAGAAACCTTGGGAACCTAGGAAGGCATGAAGAAGAAAACAGAAGCCATCAATCATTCCACTAAACTAAGATAACTACTGTTCACCTTCCATTGAGTAACTTACTTTGCTTTCTTCTATACCTGTCTATATAATTGTTTTTATAAAGATAAAACTACACTTTGTTTACATGCTGGTCTGTAAACATTTTCCACCTAATAGATCATAAATGTCTATGTCGTGAAATATGCTGCATCGACATTTTCAATGATATCATGCTTTTTGCAACTTAGATGCACACACATCACAGACACACACGTGTGTCTATACATACACTTGATATTTCAAGGACAAGGCCAGTGACTAGAAGTTAGCAATGAAGGCAGGAAGAGTGTCCATTCTTCTGTGTGCCTTCAGATTTTACCCCACATGCCCTGAAACTTCTGGTTTTTGTTCAATGATATAGTTTGGTCTATTTAAAAACTTATTTTAAGTTCTAAGAAAGGGTAGAGACACGATCATTGAACCAAATAGATCTATATGCAAACACATGTGAGTTTTATAAAAATTATCAAAGACTTCTTAGTCTCCATCTAGGCTGTCCCAGTGGAAACTGTCAACCTCAATTAAACCTGCCCTCAGCAGCCTTGTGAGGTGTGTAGGGTAGAGGATAAAAGGCAAGCAAGAGTGGCTCTGGGCTCTTTCTACAATTGTACTTATTTAGCTGGGTTTTGGAATTTACCCATTAGCTTGAAGTTCCTAAAATAATTCTTCTACTTGTTCACAGTCTTAGGAGACTATGCTGTTATTACATCAGTAATTATGAGCTTCCAAATATTCAGAGAGACAAACAGTGGGGTGAGGGGCCTGTGAGCAGGCTTTGAAGGAGCTATTTCCTAAAACTAGACGTTCCCCCTCTAAAAAGCTTGAGGAGAAAATTTAGTCAGAATCATATTTACCTTTAGCCTAATATTATGCTACACAACAGTAAAATTAAAGGGTCCCCCAGAAGGAATGAAGCATATCCATTTTATTAGTTTATATGGTAAAATGTCCAGAATGTAATATTGGGTAAAAATTTATGATACAATATCATGTATAATATGAGGCTACTTCAGAAACTTAGTGGACAAATGGAATTGAAATAAGAGTTCAGAAGTGGGACTTCAGCCTGCTAATTAATGTGCTCAAGTTGCAATCTAAATAGCTGGGCTTGACTCCCAGCTCCGGCTCTTGACTCCAGACCTCTGCTAATGCAGAACATAGGTGGCAGCAACGATATCTAAAATAACAGGGTTCCTGTCAACCCTCACGGGAGATGTACATTGTGTCCTCAGCTCCAGCCTCCAGAGTCCTGGCACAGCCCCAGCCATCGTGGGCACTTGGGGAGTGTATCAACAAGCGGAAGTTCCCTGCCTGTCTTTCTGTCTCTCAAAGAAACAGACTTAAATGAAAAAGGCAAGGCAGAGCTCAACCATGTTTAACCGGCTTTGGGAGAGACTGAGGCAGAGTGGGACCTCAGTCAGGGTGGTGTGTCAAGCCAGCAGAGAATTCCAAGGAATGCAACTGCCTAGGAAGAGGAAGCAGGGTCCGCTGAGGTGACACAGCCCTCTCTCAGGGTGCACTATAGTTGGAGGAACTGCCCAGAGGAAAAACTGCATCGACAGATCTGCACCACCTAAGGAAGCCTGATGGAGCCTCATCACTACATAGGCTTCTAGTCATGCATCCGTTTCACAGCTACATTCATTGCTTCAAAACCTAGCCTACCGTGTAGCTGCTGAATGAAGGCCTCGTTTTATAATAAATTTCTTTTCTGCAACTCTCCAGGTGTAAGTGGTTGATCTTTTCTTGGAGTCTGCCAACGTGTCTTTAAAACTCTCAGAGCTGACTGCCATCCTCCGTGGGGGGAGTCTTCTGTGTCTCTCTCTTTCTCTAATCAGTTGTTCCTTGGTCAACTCTACAAAGCTGCAACTCCTCCTTTTCTCTATCTCTCAGGCCTTCTCTTGGGTGCTTTCCGCAAACTGAAACAATTTGGGGGCACAGCGCAGTCTCAGCTCTTCTAAGCAGATCTATACCAGTGGCTCCCCGCTGCCGGTGGACACTCCGCGGTCAAGGTTGAGGTCTATGTCACACTCAATTTCCACCTTCACTGCACTTATGAAGGCCGTCACACACTGTGAATCCAGGCCTAGACAATTTAGCTGCCACGAACTCAGCTACCTGTCAAGCCATGATGCCACAGGTATCACTAGGAGGTAACAGAACAGATGATACAAACCACGGCTGAAAACCAACTTGGCTATCGCACGTCGTCCCACTGGGCAAGTGAGGTACTTTGTCACCAAGTGAGAACAACCAGCCCACTGAAACAATGCTGAGCTGGACGTCAAAGGAGCTGAATTTGGGTTTGGGCTCAGCTCTGGGTTCCTGCACTTATCAATGACAGTAATTCCCACCCTTTCTATATTCTAGAGTTAGCTTTTAGGGAATAATTAAAGAAGACAAATGGGGAGATGCTTTTAAAAGCAAAAAATTGCATAGGTACACTGGATTTAAGGTTGCAATCGTCTCCAAACCAGGGCCTCCCTTCCTGAGAGTCAATAGGTAATCATCAAGGCACTCAAACGAGGGTGAGTCCAAAAGCTCATAGAAAATGGAATTAAAAGATAGGTTTACTTTCGTGCAAAATGTGCCTGAAATCCCTGCATAGTTGTTTTAATAATATACATTTTCCATGCACTTTTGGAAGACCCATCAAACCTGGAGTCATGGTAATCACAGATTTTAAGCTAGAATGGAATAAGTACCAAAGGAAGTATCTCAAAAGAACTTCTTGGTAGTCAGGCCAGTATCTTTGAACGTGGTCCTCACCTCTCTCCCAGGGCTCTGGACTGCAAATCCCCATGACTTTCGGGTGGTGTTCAGCAGAATAACCCGAAATCCCATGGCCAGCATGTTCAGAGGTTTATAAAGCCCCATAGGCAAGCACACCCTCCCTTTGTGTTTATACATTTAAAATGCAGTTTCTCTGAATGAAGCACTCTATTTTTTCCTCTTTTTTCCAAAGCCCCGGGCACTTCCATAAGCACAGAAAGGGTGCCTGTGCTGCAAGCACAAGCGGAGGCAGCACTGCCTGCCATCTCGCCCAGCGGGAGGATGCTTGCTCTCGCTCTCTGAGTTACCTTGGAGTCCGTCTTTCTCAGAGATGCTCCTGCGTCCACCAGAAGCTGGCACACAGCCCGGTTCCGCTGGCAGGCAGCCTTGTGCAGCGCGGTCTCACCCCTAAATCAGAGACAAATGGGAAACCTCCCATAAAGGTACTGGGAAGAAGGCGCAGGGAACGGGGTAAGGGGACATGTGTTGCTCCCATCGCTGATAACTGGGTGATCCTCAGCCCTTTTCCGTGTCTGAGATCATGGCTGCAAGATGCATTCTGGGGAGGCAGGTGACGGGGTGCCTAAAAATTCTACGAGCTAGCCACCAACTGACCACAATATGTGACTCCAGTCTCTTTGTCAGATAGGATCAGTTAACTAGGTTTAGTGGGTTTTTAAAAGTACTCATGTTTGGCCGGCACCGCGGCTCACTAGGCTAATCCTCTGCCTTGCGGCGCCGGCACACTGGGTTCTAGTCCCGGTCAGGGCGCTGGATTCTGTCCCGGTTGCCCCTCTTCCAGGCCGGCTCTCTGCTGTGGCCAGGGAGTGCAGTGGAGGATGGCCCAAGTGCTTGGGCCCTGCACCCCATGGGAGACCAGGAGAAGCACCTGGCTCCTGCCATCGGATCAGCAGCGTGCTGGCCGCGGCAGCCATTGGAGGGTGAACCAACGGCAAAGGAAGACCTTTCTCTCTGTCTCTCTCTCTCTCACTGTCCACTCTGCCTGTCAAAGATAAATAAATAAATAAATAAATAAGTACTCATGTTTGATATAGGCTATACTCAATGGCATTATGAAATAGACCTATTGTGCAGATGTGTCTGAACACGAAAACAAATATTTGCTTACATCTAGGCAGGATGTGAAAGGCAGTAGACAGAGTACCCAGGGAGCAGCATGGAGACCCCCTGCCCGCAACTCTGCTCATCCAACATATCACACCATGCTTGGTAGATACCATTTGGCCTGGGAACCAAACTTCAAGGAATCAGGCCAACACCCACTCTCTGCTCAATCTACTTTGGATTCAGTGTGAGTGGAAGGTGGAAGGATGGGCAGCCACGGAGGATATCGGATAGGCACAGTGAGACTCTGGGAGAGTTCAGGAGCCAAAGCTCTCCCAGGCGGCAGCAGGCCTGAGGCCAGCCACGCAGAGTGTAAAGGGGGAACGAGCAGGTGGCTATTTCCCCATCTCCGCAAGGCAGTCGAGGAGGAAAGATGCTCACATTCTGAGAACCAATGTGAAGACACTCAGCACCAGAGTGTTTTATGAAAAATCAGCCACTGCCCTTACAGAAGGGTAAGTGTGGTACCACTGACCACCTCACAACAGTAGGTACCGCAGTGTAGACCAGCTCTGCAGGGCGATGGATAGTTTGTTCTGTGTCCAGTGACTCACAGCCGTACCCTTTCCCTCTCGTCTTCCGTTCTATTCACTTCTATTCCCCAGCTCCCCTTCTACTGAGCTACCGTCCACCTCCTTCCTCCTCACCCTCACTCATTTTTATTTCTTCTCAGAGTACTTTAAAGTTCCTTAATGATTTCCATATTGCTTTCAGAATTAGTTGTTCATCCCTTCTTTGTTTCTGTTAGGGGAGCAGTAGTTACAGTATTTTGCTGCCGCAGGAGTGAGAAAGTTGAAAACAGTTATTACTTTAGCAACCTTGCCCGACTTGATGACTTCCTCAACCAGCCTTCCTTGTCTGAACCACAGAACACAGGAGGCGATGGGAATCACTGTGTTCCCATTTCTCCAGTGGCACATAACTCGTCCCATTTACAGGGTCAGCGAGAAGCTGTGTCATTTCACTGAGGGCATTAGGACTTCCCTTTCTCACAAACACCAGTTGAGAAACAACAAATGTAGTGGGTACATTACAAGGTAAACGCGTGTATTTAAAAGTCTCATCAGTGCAGAAGGAAGCTTTCAATGATGAACAGCACTGACTCTTCATTCAGTCATGAAGATTAGCGCTGCACAGTTACAAATACAGTTGGAAGTGAAGTTTTTAATCAACGGAATTAAAGTTCCATAGGGTACGCCCTGCAAACGACATGATTTTCCTACATATGTGTGGAAACATATCATCTAGACTATACAACGAAAGGCAGCACTTACGTTTCACTGTCAGCCATATCCAATAACTCAGAAGGTCCTAAACAAGAAGAAACAATGTGCCATTAAAAATAAGCTCAAAACTGACCAACAGCAGAAAATATAGTCACAGAATGAAACTGTATTTAAATACTGAATAAAAGGAGTCATTGGTAACAGGGATGACAATACTAAAACAAAACAAAAGGATTCTTGTGCTTCCCCACCACCAACCTCCCATTCCCCATGAGACCACTGTACTGAATATGAGATGCGAAACAGTCATACAGTGATGCAGCTCCTGCCATCAAGAAGCCCTCCATCAAGCTGAACACTCAAACTGACTGGAATATAATAACTGAAAAAATAATTGAGCAGCTTCCTAGGGAGAAGGGGGACAGTCAGATGGGGACTGCTTTGCATTTTCCAGTTGCAGGTTGGGGTCTCGTGTGTACCACATTAAAGCCACAAGAACTCATATATATCACAGAATCCAATCTCTTTACTTAGAAATAGAGTAAAATTATATTTTTTTGCAAAATGTCCCTTTCAAGTCCAGGAAGAAATGTAACACATGCAGGCAGAGTGACTTTAGATGTATCATTAGAAATTGAAATATTTTGTGCTGGCCCTGCTACAGTGTTTTATTTGTTCACAAACCCACCTATTCAGTCTGAGAACACTGCTAGGAATGTGCACCTCTCCCCTCTCTGACCATTGCTTCTTTCCGTGCAATTCTTTATACAGCTCCATGAAGCCCCCTGTGACCCAACTCCTAGTATTACATTAACTATCCTGCCCGTATGATCTCTACTTTATATATTGGTCCTGTTGATTGAGTAGTATAATTGATGACCTAAATTGAAACATCCAAGGCAAATGGGGATAAGTTATTACACTGCTCATCATGATACTTGTCAATCCATTTTAAAATTGCTTGTTGATTTCTCCCTCTCCACAACTATACTCCGGTCTAGCTGAGGTTCTGATCTATATTTCTTCACCATTGTGTCCTTCCTTTGTGCCTAGCATACAGCTAATGCTTAAGTATTTGGTGAAATGATAAATAAGAGTACTTGGAAGTGCCAAACATGGTTCTAGGGATTGATAGTTTTAGACTCCAGAAATAGGATCCCAGTGTTTTGCTCTCTGTATTGGTGAATATCATTATTATTGAAAACTAACTTATTGTGCACAACAGGAAGGGAAAAAAGAGGTTATAACTTCTTAACTATGAGAGTCATTAGCCAAGGAGAAGACAAGGAAATGCTATGGGACCTTCACCATCCCCGTGGACATCCATGAGCTCAAGCATCTTCCCCTCCACTCTTTCACATCATTATTTCCTGGACCAGGTCAATCTCTCCTACAATGTAGCTCCTATTTGTCCTATCTGACAAGCAGACTGCCAAACAAGTCTCTGACTCGGATATAATTAGCATGTGGAAACTGATACAAAGGAAAATGAAAAGGTCCTATATCATATAGATTTCCAAGTTTCTAATGCATCATGTCTATTGCTTACTCCAGAGTATTTAAACATAGAAGTTCAATCTTTCACATAGCACTACGTTTCTTCAATTTGTTGCCAAATTTCTAGTTTTTCCTATAAGCTAAAATGGTAACTGTACAGCTTACCAAGTGTGTATTCTGGTTTCCCATGTCTCCAGAGCTTCACACTTCCCAGCCCTATGCCCTGACCCAAACAGCTTTCTCCTTCTAGCCACAGAACTAAATGTGAGTTATTCTGTAAAACACAGGCTGAGCTAAGGTCCTCTGAAAAGGTGATCTGCGACAGAAAAAAAGAAAAAAACTTATCCTTTCTTGAACTCCTCTACTGCTTCTTCAGTTCAATTCTTGCATGATGTTTTTGCTCTTCAAATGTACGCCTTATCTGCTTAAATAAGGTATTCTAAATTTCTTGACAGTAAAAATACCTTCATTATGTTTTTGGATCCCTCTGGCACCTATCATATATTAAGCAGTCAACAAAGATTGAACTCACTCCTTTTTGTTCCTCAGTCATATGATTCCAACGAAAGATGAACGATAATCCACTCCCCAAAACTGCAGAGCAGTACAGAACAGTGATGAGGAGTGGGGTTTTAGAGTTGTCCCTCCATAGCGCAAAACCCCAGCTCTACTATTTACAAGATCTTGGGCAAGTTCATTTATGTAACACGTATCTCACAAGGTTGTTGCCAGATTTCATGAATCAACGCATGTAATGAGTTTAAACCAGCACCAGGCACCACAGGCACTGCATAAGGTACAGAGAGCAATCAGTATCCTCTCCTCTGGCCTAAGACAGCAGGTCACAGTTAGTCAAAGCTAGTGGAACACCACAGAAAGATAGTGAGGCCAAAGGGCCATTTCACTACCAACAACACTTGAAGCCACTTACTGATACCAATTACATGTCTTGAGAGCCAAGCACCCTAGCCAACCGCCAACAGTTCACCTTCAAAAAGGTCAGGAGTGAGAGGACCGACAGTGCCCAGTGGTCCTTTGAAAGCACTCCTGTTATTCCAGCAAGCCTTTTAAGCCATTTGCTTTGAAAGGGATTCTGTGCCCAGGAGCTGGCCAGCCTGACCAGCAATTCTGCTCCCACCACTGCTGCCCATTGCACAGCTGTTCAGGCAGCAGTGCCCTTGCTTTGTTTTCTCCTTTATTCGTTGCAGTCACCCAGTGCTCTCAGAGCTGCACCCAAGGTGGGTCGAGGCCCAGGGACCTCTGGGGTCCAAGCTTCTAGGCAAATGAGAAACCCTAAGCATCTTTAACTGGACTAAAAGAGCAACCATTTGACAGTCTGAAGGTGGGGCCGTGGCAAATCAAGGACCTTGTTCCAGAATTGCTACAAGGCCAGCCAATCCAGAGTTACTTCCGAGCCGGTCATCCAGCCTGGCCTGCGGCTCTTCCTCATTCTCCATTCTCACCCGTTAATCCTCTGAAGCCGGCAGAGGTGAGAGGCAGACACGGATACTACAACAAGAAACTTCTGGTCCTGGGGAATATCTGGAGAAATTACAGTTAAAGGTTGGAGAAATGGTTCTGAACACTGACCACAGGGTCCTGAACACTGACCACAGGGTTCTGAACACTGCCAAACAATTGGCCAACGGAGACAGACAGAGGACAGCCAGTAGATTTCAGACGGGAGTGGGGAGCTGCTTTAACAGCACAGGTACTTTTCTGAGTGCTTCATTAGCCTGCTTTAAAGAGACTGCCTACTGCTAGCAAAAACGGGGGTCATGGTAGGGGCAGGAACAAGGAGTGGATGCCAGGTAAGGTCTCAGGGCAAGGCTGTAGCCCCTTCCTTATCTGCACCTGCCCTGACATACTGGGACCTGTGTGTTACCAGTTCCCAGAACTGTTTCATAGAGCCCAGTGCTGTTTCACAGTACCCTGCACTGCTTCTCAATACCCAGCACTGCTTCTCAGTACCCTGCACTACTTCTCAGTACCCAGCACTGTTTACAGTTCCCTGCACTGCTTCTCAGTACACTGCACTACTTCACAGAACACAGTGCTGTTACACAGTACCCAGCACTGCTTCGCAGAACTCTGCACTGTTTACAATACCCTACACTGCTTCTCAGTGCCCAATGTTGCTATATAGTTCCCAGCACCAAGACATAGAGCCCAGCACTGTTTCACAGTACCCTGCACTGCTTCACAGAACACAGTGTTGTTTCACAGTACCCAGCATTGCTTCACAGAACCCTGCACAGCTTCACAGAACACAGTGCTGTTACACAGTACCCTGCACTGCTTCACAGAACCCAGCACTGTTCAAAGTACCCTGCACTACTTCACAGAACACAGTGCTGTTACATAGTACCCTGCACTGTTTACAGTACCCTGCACTGCTTCACAGGACACAGCACTGTTTCACAGTACCCAGCATTGCTTCACAGAACCCTGCATAGCTTCGCAGAACCCAGCACTGTTGACAATACCCTGCACTACTTCACAGAACACAGTGCTGTTACACAGTACCCTGCACTGTTTCACAGACCCTGCACTACTTCACAGAACCCAGCACTGCTTCTCAGTACCCAGCACTGCTTCTCAGTACCCAGCACTGCTTCACAGAACCCTGTACTGCTTCACAGAGCCCTGCACAGCTTCACAGGACACAGTGCTGTTTCACAGTACCCTGCACTGCTTCATAGAACCCTGCACAGCTTCATAAAACACAGTGCTGTTACACAGTACCCTGCACTGTTTCACAGGACACAGTGCTGTTTCACAGAACCCAGCATTGCTTCATAGAACCCTGCATAGCTTCACAGAACACAGTGCTGTTTCACAGTACCCTGCACTGCTTCACAGTACCCCGCACTGCTTCACAGAACCCAGCACTGTTGACAGTACCTGCACTACTTCACAGAACACAGTGCTGTTACACAGTACCCTGCACTGCTTCACAGAACCCAGCACTCTCCACAGAACCCAGCACACTCCACAGAACCCAGCACTCTTCACAGTACCCAGCACTGACTGCTTCGCAGAACCCTGTACTGCTTCATAGAGCCCTGCACTGCTTCACAGAACACAGTGCTGTTACACAGTACCCTGCACTGCTTCACAGACCCTGCACTACTTCACAGAACCCAGCACTCTCCACAGTACCCAGCACTGCTTCACAGAACCCTGCACTGCTTCACAGTACCCAGCACTGCTTCACAGAACCCTGCACTGCTTCACAGTACCCAGCACTGCTTCATAGAGCCCTGCACTGCTTCTCAGAACCCAGCACTCTCCACAGTACTCTGCACTGTTTAGCAGTACACTGTACTGTAACACAGTACCTTGTGCTATTTAATGCTATCAGGGTGAGATCTGGGGGGGGGGGCAGGCATAAATTCTAAGGAAAAATGTATAAAAAGTAGCACCAATGATTTTTAGAAAGTTCATTTGAATCTCACTAATAAAGAAACAAAAGAGAAAGAGAGAAAAAAAAATAAAGCAGCCTGAATTCCTTCAGTGTATACAAATGGGCAGTACTTGACTTCAGGAACTTACTTTACATCAAGCAATGAGTGTGGATACCACGTC